ACGGAATTATGAAGGAGGGAGTTCAGAATAAAAAGTAAAGATGTACTCTGTACTAAAATTTTGCCGAGTCTGGGTACCCAGAAAAAATTGAACCTTTAACACGGCCAGGCCGGTTCCGGGTTTTTCGGGTACCCACTAAAATTTGGATTTATTACCCGGCCGGTCAATACAACATTTATCCGAAACATTATAGCAATCATATATAGTTAGAAGATATATAGTTGCAATATATAGTTTAAGGAAATTTATTGTTTGCCTGTATAAAGAAAAGCGTGCATTTTGAGTCAAGCAAGAATCAACTTTGTCAGTCAGTCTATTTTAAAAATATTATTAATTTTTTAGTGAAACTCTATCAAACAGAGAGCACTTTAAAAAAGAACTGCATTTTTATAATTGAAGATGCTTAATTAAATAGTTTTATATTGAGTTCTGTTTTGTTTTTATTTATTTTCGATTCTTGTCTTTTATTGCTACTTTGCATATTAATTCTTAACTTTCTTTCATTATTATTAGGGGCCGTTCAAAAAGTACGTACACAAAAATGGAGAAATTTTAAACCCCTCCCCCCCCTTCGTACATTACCGTTATTAGTCTACCCCCCTTTTTCATAAAAATTAAAATAATTAAGTTTTAAATAAAATTAAATATTNTTAATTATTTGTTTTTCCATAAAAATATGTTTAACAAAAAAATTTTATAACAAAATTTTTCTGTATCTCTTTAATTGTTTTAAAAAAAAGTCAGGGGGGTGCAAGTGCACCCCCTTGCACCTTGCACCCCGCTGCTGGAGCCCTTGACGGCACGTCATGACCTCATTAAGCAATTTTTTACAGAAAATGGCACGTTGGTGTATAAAGGTTCACCACCCCTGCCCTAGATTAATGCGATTTCAGAAACTTAAAAAGAAACAGATTTCCTTCATAGTGTGTGATATGTTGTGATCAGATGTATATACATTTTTTTTTCTACTTCTGAGAAACCTATGCATTACCAAGCATAAGCCTCTGTGTTTTACCTCACTTCAATTTGAAGCTGAAGAAAAAGACTTCCTTTAATCCTTTTATTGATTTAGTGCTTCATTTTTTTTTTTTTTTTTACACTAAATATTTAGAGCAGCTATGACCATGAAGGGATAGAGATCATTTGATAAAACGCTACATTAGGCAGCGTAAATTATAGTGTTTAGAATTAAGGCTATAATTTTCTATATTTTAAGAACGAAACGCGTGAGGAAAATGCTGTAAAATAAGTGAAACAGACAGAAGTCTAAGACTAAAGTCACATTCACCACTGTTGTAATCATTGTGAAAAATCATGCGAAGGTTTTATTTTTATGAGGCTGCACATTTTTCACGCACGTGTGTGCATGATTTTTTTTAGATATTTTTTTCCGATTCCTTAAAAAAAATAAAATGCTTGTTTATTCAATTTCTAAGTAAAATCGAGAATGTAAGCATTGCAGAAGGAGTTCATACGTATTGTACGTAAACTCAAAAAAGAAAAAAAAATTATAAAATAATAATAATAATCTAGTTGAATTTTATAGACATTTGGATTTATTTACTCTTACTAGGGGACTCCGCCCCCCTGTTCAATTCGCTAACCAACCCATGTGGTTATTTCTCATTCATCCTCGAAGATCAAATTGGAACCTATGGACAAACTTGGGACCTAAGGGATTTACTAAAACTGTAATAGAAATGCCTCATTATTAATTACTAAAAAACCAGGCTAAAAAATCAGACCACAAAATTAATTTCGCCACCTTTTTTTCATTCAGCTTAAGAAATCTGTATAGTAATTACAATCTGCATTTTGAAAAATCCACACGAATTATAAGATTTTTAAAATGTGATTTCAAGAGTGCAGTAATTTATTTCGCACTTAGTTACCGATGTAATTTTGATAATTACTGCAATCTCATCATCATCATAATTTGCAGAGCCCTTCTTTAAAATTTTATTGGTTTTTTTTCCTAGTAGTTGGTATTTTTAAGTAGTTTCAGTAACTCTTCATGCCAGCCAGGCGGCCGAGCGGTTAGCGCACCTGACTGCGAAGCCAATGGCTGCGGGTTCGAATCCCCCTCTGGGCATGGATGTTTCTCTTTTGTGTTGTCCTTTGTTGAGTGTGATTACTGAATGTGGCCCACCCTATGAACGGGTTTGTGGCAGTGTGGCGTGGATATTGTTGCTCGCCTCCGTGATCTTGGTTCACAGGTGCCCACTGGGTAACGTAAATTGAGTAACAATTCCGGCATCTTCTAAGGCGAAGAGATCACTGGCTGCGGTCAGTGTGCGGGTGGGTGACCACTTGGATCAGTCTGCGTAGGGACCGAGGGTGTGCGGTATTGGTCCTCGTTAAACTGTGCTACCGTAAAGTGCTCGACTTTGCGCGTAGGTCGTCGGGCTACTGAAGCGGGGGTGCCATCCCCTCCGCAGAGGGAAAAAATTGTGATGGCATGTCTTCGGATCATCCTCAGGGATGTTTCTCAGACCGTCGCCAATAGCCCATTGTGCAGCTCTAGTGCGACGTAAATTAACAACAACAACATCTAAGGCGAAGAATAAAGTTCAGTGCCAGCCACTTGAAAAAAAAAAAAGTAACTCTTCATTTGTTTTTTTCATAACGCAGCAATGAAATTATAATAAATTTTTAAACCATGAAAATTGTTAAAAAATTTAATTAATATTTTATTAAAATAGTTCGAAAATTTTTTAATTAATGAGTTCTGTAAAACAATAATTTGATATAAATCAATTATTTTTTTTAAATAATAATTAGTTAGTATAAATCATGATTTAAATTACGATTTAAATTTTGATTCAAATCAAGCCAATTTGAATTAACAAACCCTGTTGTAAAGATGGACTAATCTTGAATCGCAAACTAAATTTTATGTGTTTTTTTTTTTTTTTTTTTTTTTTTTTTTTTTTTTTTTTTTTTTTTTTTTTTTTTCTTTGTCTTTTTAGTTTCCCTGACGTTGCAAGTAGAATGGTCACTTACAAACATCGATGAAGAGAGTTTAGAGCGAAAGATTCATGTCCAGAAACGATCTTCAGAAAATCTTAAAAAAAGATCATGTGAAATCTCTGATGTAAGTTTTGCCTTGATTTTATAACACTTTAATTCTCCAACAATGATAATTTGATTTAAAGAAAAGCATTATTTAGAGTGACGTTTGTCTATACTACGACGTCGAAACTTTTGCAACTGTTCAGAAAATAACATGTTATTTAATGAATGTTTTTACAATATAACTGACAATTTATGTAATTTGATGGCTTCACGACAGTTTTTTTTTTAAATTTTCTGTTAAAAAATACATTTTTGTCCATTCTTTGAATAGCTCTCAAGTTGTGCTGTGTTTACAAGAAATAACGGAATAGAGAAGAACGGGGAGAGGGGGATAACGGAATATATCTGTTATTTATAAATCCAAGATTTCTTGAAATTTCGACAGATATGCAAAACTGTTTTTACATTTTCATGCGTTGTTGCATAAAGGGTGACTGGCGCGCGTGAAATCAGTCGGGTCACAAAGTCCTCTATGTTCCCATTACAAATCATACCTCTGGGGTACTGAATTGGAGATTGATCGCTCTCTGGTTCAAGTCAAAATTATGATCTGCAGATAGATGGATAGTGTGTGATTGTGTCCTCCCTGTAGAAGGAGATATGGCGTATGTATGTTGTTTCCGAATCATTCTCAGGAATGTTTCCAAGACCGTCGCCAATGACCCATTGTGCAGCTCTAGTGCGATGTAAATAAAAGAAAGAAAGAAAGAAAGAAAAAGAATTCTCTGAAATCTACTAAAATATCGCTCTTAATGTTGTTGAGTTTTTTTTTCTTTTCTTTTTTAACTCTTTTTTTCTCTTCTTTTTTTTTTTTAGTTTTTCGGTTTCGTTTTGATCGGTTTCTAGTTTTAATTGGAATTTACTGCTGCCATCTAGGAAATTAATAAAGAACTATTTTATTTTTTATTTTTTTTATCAGCTGTAAACTGTGATTGTAACTGCNGTATTTTTTATTTTCAAATTTAGTGGATAACAATTGTAAAAAATGAGTGAAAACAATCCCACGGACAATGCGACGGATTTATAAGGACATACATTATGAATACAAATACATTTTCCATGGCGAGACGATGAGGCAACCACAAGCACTTCCACTGGTTCAAGAGGTCCACGAACAATATTACCGTGATTACAGAGCACGGAAGCGAGCGGAGCAGGAAAAAGAGTCGTTGAATAGAACTAGTGATCCCTCTACCACTGCTGATTCTTCTACAATTAACGTCGCAGGTTGCGAAGTTTAACTTCCGCGCAGAGGGACTCCACGCACTATTTTTTTTTTTAGTTTTCTGTTAAAAAATACATTTTTGTCCATTTTTTGAATAGCTCTCAAATTGTGCAGTGTTTAGAAGAAATAACGGAATAGAGAAGAACGGGGAGATGGGATAACGGAATATTTCTGTTATGTATTAATCCAAGATTTCTTTGAAATTTTGATATATATGCAAAACTGTTTTTACATTTTCATGCGTTGTTGCATAAATGGTGACTGGCGTGCGTGAAATCAGTTGGGTCACAAAGTCCTCCATGCTCCCATTACAAATCATACCTCTGGGGTACTGAATTGGAGATCAATCGCTCTCTGGTTCAAGTCAAAATTACGATTTGCAGATAGATGGATAGTGTGTGATTGTGTCCGCCTGTAGAAGGAGATATGGCGTATGTATGTTGTTTCCGAATCATTCTCAGGAATGTTTCCAAGACCGTCGCCAATGGCCCATTGTGCAGCTCTAGTGCGATGTAAATAAAAGAAAGAAAGAAAGGAACAGAATTCTCTGAAATCTACTAAAATATCGTTCTTAATGTTGTTGAGTTTTTTTTTCTTTTCTTTTTTAGTTTTTCGGTTTCGTTTTGATCGGTTTCTAGTTTTAATTGGAATTTACTGCTGCCATCTAGGAAATTAATAAAGAACTATTTTATTTTTTATTTTTCATCAGCTGTAAACTGTGATTGTAACTGCATTTCTATTTTCAGGTTTGTTTACATTTTGTGTTTACATCTTGAGGAATGCATCTCCAAGCTGTGTACCGTTTTAATTTAGTATTAATTTATGGAATTGCTTTTATTTGAATTGCTTGTTTTTCGTGTTAGTGTACTGGAAAGAAAACTGAACATTTTTGATTTAGATACAGAGGTTTAAGCATTCATTACTAGAAATTAGACTATTTTACGTGCTTCTGAAAATTTAAATGCGTCTATTTACAAGCAGCTGCATAGTTTTTGCAATTATGAAATTAGCTTCTTGATACTGAAATGTATTAAGATAATTATTTTATTAAGCATTAAAATTTTTCAATTTCTATTCCATTGCTTTGCAAGAAAAGTTTTTGTAAATTGCATTACCCCCGTGATTTTGTTCTAATAAAATACTACGTTTAAAAAAATGAATTCCACTGATGATAGTGAAAACAGTGAGGGAGTGTCGGACACAGATGAAGAGTGGGATGAAGATGTTGTTCTTCCAAACTCACCCCTCTGCGACTATATAAAAGATCTTGATATATCAGATAGTGACTTAATGCAAGAGGAGAATGAACCAGCAGTACAAAGTGAAATCCTTATTAAAAATCTCTCTGACAAAGGTGACTTTAAGCATTTTAATATTTCAATAAAAGAAAAAGTATTGAGTGTTATTAATATTATGTATTCAGTATTTTTGTCTCATGTTTATGTTATTGAGCATTATTTAACCACTTATGTTTTGGAAAAAATTATAAGTAAAAATCTTTTAATAGAAGAAGATAAAGCGTTTTTATTAAATTGGAATTCTGGAAAACAAACTTTTAGAATATGGGACCTGTTGCGACAAATATTCATAGTTATTACTCTCACTCTCTTTGCTGTTAGCTTTATACTCTTCACTCTTATGAATCTAAATACTGATCAAATTATTTCTTCTATATTTGCAGATTGGCAAGCAATGATATGTATTTATCCTTGTTTTGGATGTTTATTGCTTTTGGCATTCAATACTATTGAAATATTTCAATGTTTTCTAATGTATTATCGTTTGAAAAATCTTTCAAGAAACATGCATAATTTATATTCTGTTGTTAAGAAATGTATTCGATTAATTCAAGAGTCAGAACTTATTGCTCGAGGATTTACCGCTGCATCGGTTTGTTCATTGGCGGAACGACTTGAGTTGTCATCGAATTTACCGATTGCCTCTACACAAAGGCAATATATTGAGTTAAGAAAATATGTATTTTCTTGGCTTAAAGATATCTTAATGCAGTATAGATATGCAACCAGTACTTTAATTGATAGAGTTTCTCCAGATTTGGAATTTGATTTTACCAGTAATTATCTAGCTAAGTTAAATATCAAAGAGTTTGGTCTAATTCTTCAATATGATACTAATTCAGATACTGAATTGGAAGAGTTAAAAATTGTTACTGACAATTTCTCTATTATGTCTTTGAAAACTATGTTTGATTTGATGGAAATTCAGGTTTCTGAATTTTTTAAATGTTTGTATCTGTCTTCAACTATTCACACCGAAAGACGATCCAAAAGTTATGGTTTACTGCAAACTGTCGAGTCTTCTGAACGTCGTACAGATGTAACTGTCTTAAATAAAAATATGAAAATACTACTTGACAAAATTGAAGAGAAATATAAATATTATCGATGCTTCGAAGTTATGAATGTCAGTGTGCCAAAAAAGAACAATTCCTCTGGGGAATCAGGACTACTTTTAACAATTCACAATATGAGTCTTCACTTAAAATCTGCTTTAAGTAGACTGATCGAAATTGAAGACAGATTTGGCGATAAATGTTTAATTTTTGAGAATTCAAAGAATAAATCCGTTGTGAAAGAAATTAACTCATTACTTCAGATTGTAAAAAGTGAAACTTCAGCATTTGAAGATTGTTTTTCAAAATGTAATGAACTTGTAACTGAGATAATAGATGATAAGGTGAAGAAAAGTCTTGATGATGCTCGAGAATGCACAGTAACAGACGAAGATGATGGTATGGAATCGTTTAACCAATATATTGAGCAGTGTGACGATGAAATTGATGTTCAAGATGAGGTATATGAAGACGTTATATCAAAAAGTAACTGCACATCTGATGACATTAAAGTGTTTCACCAGGAAGATTGTACAAAAAATTTGAAGTTGCTTAAAGAACTAAAAAATGTTCTTGTGATTAAAGCTGAAGAACATCAAAATCGGGAGAAAATTGCTTTGTGTAGAAGAAAAGGACAGAAAGGGTTAAAAGATGATGACATGGACTCTAATGACAATATTAATAGCATGTCTAAAGCTGATAGCTTATCTGATTTTCGTAAAAAGAACAACATATTGGACTTTACTGGTAGAAAACAGCAAAGAGTGGGAATGTTCAAAATTGATAACAACTCTGATGACTCTATTACCACATCAAAAGAAAGTGCAATCTTTTCTCAAAATATTTCGAATTTGAGAGAAACATATAATGAAAGTGATATTTCCAGTGAAACCGAATCAGAAACTGAGAATTCGAATAATAGACTAGGGTTTCTTCTAGATCAGAAATGTAAAAACTCTAAATTTGTGCTTGGTGACCGCAAAGATTCATTTGCTGCTGCTATTGCATCAATGGCAGCTCAGCAGCGCTTAACTTTAGGTTTATCAAATGAAGAATTTGGTTGTGATGACGATGAGGTTGATTCTGAGAACTAATTGACTTTGGATATAAATATTCAACGTTACTATTTATTTATTTGGAATGTTTAAGCTTTATAATATTTGTTGTGTCTGGTATTGCTTGTGATTATTCTTTTAGAGATTATGTCAAACTTTATTTTGCAGTGTTTTCACTACAACGCGAGAATCTCGCATATTTTTTTCTTTTCTCGCATTAAAAAATTATCACTGCGAGAAATTCGCGCATTCTATAAATCAATTTCAAAATTCGCGAATTTCTCGCATTTTGGAAGAAGCTTCGAATTACGCTATTTAGAATAAAATCCGTTTCACTTTTCTTGCGGGATCTTTCATTATTTTCAACATTTGCTCCGTTATCTAGCTTCCCTATTTACCAGTATTGTTCAGAACCTTTTCGAACAACAGAACACAACCGAACCCCTTTCAGAACACATTTCTCTGCAATCACGTGTTTACCGTAGGTAAGGTTTTTTCATGTAAGACGTTCAAATTTTTTATGCACTAATGTAAGAGGGACAAATACCTAGTAAAGGCAAAATCTTCTATGATGATGCAGCAAGAATATTCAATGCTTTAAAAAATAGAAGAGGTTAAAAATGTATTATAATAAAAGAAATGATTTTTTTTTCAAGTCCATTTGTGTTTTTTTTAGTTTTTAGAAATCTCACTTAACTTTCTGAAATCTCACCTTGTTTTTGAGAAAGGGTGAGAAATTCTCACCCATTTTTTTTCTATGATGAAAACACTGTTTTGTAAATATTAAATTTTTATTTTGTGAAAAATTTGTTTTTTATAAATGTTAATATGCATTTAATATTTCTTATTGTTGAATGCTGTTATTGAAAACTAATATGCTGTTATAATAGACATTGTGAGTTTTAGTATGTTATACGTATGTGTAGCTAATTTTTAAAATAATCTATGGTAGAATTTTGCTAACTCTCTTCTTTTTTTTTTAAGATTTAAATTATTGATCTTTAATTTTTTAAATCTATTAACAATTTTTAGGGTGCAATTTAGGTTTTATGTGTACTAAACTTTTTTTATTGTTAAAGCTTTATTAATTTAGTTAATATGTGTAATCTTCTTTTTGAAGCCTGGAGGAATCCAAAAGGAAACTAATTTATTGAGCAATAAAAATGTTATTTGAATTCTTTAGTATTATGTTATTTACACAGATTCACATCCTCTTTCATCTTATCTATTTTACCTCTTTTATCTTATTTAGAGGTAAAATAGACAAACTGACGACAAACCAACTGCGCCACGGCCGCTTGGCACAGTTGGTTTGTCGTCGGTCTTCTGAGCCCAAGTCTGCGGGTTCGATCCCCGGCCCAGACACCGGATTTTCGGGATGCAGAAAATCCTCAGCGGCCATGTCGTATGATTATGCGTCATGTAAAAGATCCCTGGAGTGCCTTATTGGCTCTTGGCATTTCCGGCAAAATTGAATTCCTAGTGCACTTTAGCATCCAAATAGAGTCTCCGTGCTGCCATCTAGTGTGGCAAAAACTATACGTCCAAATTAACATGACCAACGGTATCTCACCCATTGTGGTGGTCCTGAAAGAGTGGATACCACCTCTGAAGAACACACTAGGTCTGCTTATCGGCAAGATCGATTGTGCAGCTCATTGGAAATAAAAAATCATATATAGCAATTTTATAGAGGTAAAAAATATCTTATATAGATATTTTTTACCTCTTTTATCTTACATAATAATTTTTCAATTATACCAATAATTTTACCGTATTAACTTTAAAACCTTGTTTTCTAATGTCATACTGTTGCAATTCAAGGACATCTTTGGAGGTAGAGTAAACACTACAGATAGACTTCGTCGTCTCCGGTTAAGAATGAAAGCAGGAGGTTTTCATGCGTACATTGTACCATCCAACGATGAGCATCAAGTAATATATTGTTATTGATAATTTCTATAATTTGACAATTTTCATTTATTTATTATTATTTTTTTGCACTTATTATTTTAAAAATAATCGATAAAAATGTGCGAATATTGCAGTGGCATGGCCAAAAAAATGTTTGGGTCAGGTTTTAAAACTCCGATGATTTTAATAACTGAAAATTTTCTAAGAATTGATATTCAATATGCGAGAATTTAAATTGAAAACTTGTAAACGATAAATTACTTTTGAATGAAGGAAAATTATTAATTAATTGAAAGTGGTGGGGGCCAGTGTGGACAAAATTTAGTAAAGAAATTTATTTGACATTATTTTGAGTATACCTTTTTTTTTTTAAAAATTTGAACTTTTATCTTCATTTTGAATTATACATAACAGACTTAACTGTTTTAATATTTGAATTTTTTCTATCAGCCGCATACTTTTATATTTTTCTTACTTGGGTAAATTGGAAAATTTTTTATGTTTTCTGAAATCATCTTCATATAATTTCTAGTTGTTAGTGTACTGCACAACTTGATACATTAAGACTGAGCTATAAAGTGCTGGAAACATTTTCGATTTTTCTTTTTCAATTGTAACACTTTTGTGCTTATTTGCATGTTTATTTTTGCATCATTTTTATTTGATTACGTTTCTTAACCAAATTATTAAAACTGTGCAAAACTGTTTTGTCCTAATAAGTAATGTCTATTTTACTTAGGCAAATATTTTTATTTTCAATATCATTTTTTTTAAATTTTTCATAAAATTTTTAATTTTAGATTTACACCACTTTATAAAATTTCAATAAAAGTTAAGCAATTAGTACTTAGTTTTTTTTAATTAGATAAGATTGTAATTGAATCATAAATAATCTAAGAGACTTACTTTTAAAATTGATCGAGAAAAGAAGCTGAGAATCGAGGAATCATAAAATAGTGTTCTCGAATATCATCAACTAAATAATTCCACAAGTGATGTTCAACTTCATATAATCTTAAGTTCTCAACTTATAATGATGAACATAAAGTCATATTACTGGACAAGTTCTGGTGGGATATTTTGTTTTGCTTCAATACTATATGGAAATAATATTTGTGAGACTGAAAAGTCCTTTTGATACTAAAGGGTTAATACCATGACCTAGCTTCTAATGAAACAAATCTCTTTTCCAATCGATCGTCAGCTTATTTAATTCCTGATTATGACTTCTGGCGGGGGTTATTACCCTTTCCGTTGGCTGTGTCACTTGAATAGGGTAAACTTAGTATAAAATGTTGTCTCATGAATCTTCTTTCATTCGCAGAGTGAATACATTGCTGACTATGATAAAAGAAGAGAATTTATTTCAGGTTTCTCTGGATCTGCAGGTATGAGAACTCGTAATTATATTTGGTACTTTTCCTTTAGCCAGGTGCATACAATAATTTTTTTTGTTTTGTTTTGTTTTTTATTATTATTTTTTAGAGTGTTGGCTAATTTGTTCTTTAAAAAGAAATTTTAAAAAAAATATTTGAATTTACTTGCTTCCAGCTAATAGAAAAGTATGATATTTTTTAATAAAACATATTTTAAAGAAGGATTTTTTTTTTTTAAATAAGCCCAACCCTCTGGACTTTGTATTTTTTTCAGTGTCTTATTGTTTTTTTAAAGATTTATTAGGTATTTTCAAAGTTAATTGGTTTTTTTCTCCATTTCTTTTTTATTCTTTATAGTCTAAGTAAAGCTGCATTGATAAATACCATTTATTTTATTTTATTTATCTATATTTTATAATAAAAAAATAATTTGAAACTAATTAACGGGGCTAACAGGTCTGGGAAAATGGTATTTAAAATATATTTTTTTTTTATAAATAGTTTTCATATTTCATTGAATTGTGTGGGAACTCATTATTACATTTGGTACTTTCTCTTTTGTCAGGTGCATTCAGTGATTTTTTTTGTTGTTATTATTTTTTTAAGGTGTTGTCCAATTTGTTTTTTTAATCAGAAATATTTTAATTTACTTGCTCTGAGCTAACAAAAAAGTCCCGTACTTTAAAATTAGACTTATTGTAAAACAGGATTGTAAAAAACCCGGGGGTTTTTAACAATAAACCCAACTTACTGGACTTTTTTTGTGTTTTTTTTTCCCAGAGTCTTATTGTTTTTTTTTAAAGATTTATTATTTTAATTGGTTTTTTTTATCATTTTTTTTTATTCTGCATAGTCTAAGTCAGGCTGCATTGATAAATACCATTTATTTCATTTAATTTCTGTTAATTTAGCTATATTTTATTTAAAAAAAAATTTAAAAAAAACATTTGGAACTGTATATAACAAGACTAACAGGTCTGGGAATATAGTATTTAAAATTTATTTTTATGAGTAGTTTTCCTATTTCATTGAATTGTGATTCACAAATATATTATATATTGTATCTTGTTATAACAACAGTTTCAATTATACTGTGAATTAGTATCTCAAATTTTTGAGAGAATATCTTAGTATGCATTATTTGCAATTTCAATTTATACGTATTTTTAAATATGTTGTAAATTTTAAAGCACTGTAGAATATGGAAGTAATGAAAATATAAATATTTCAATGAATGGAATTTGAATTTTATTCTATTATAAACTTACTATCTAGAATTGATTTCTTATTGATAAAATACAATTAGGAAAAAACCCATCTGAGTTTTTTTTTTTCAGGTTGGGTTAAATCATAACAGCACTGATGTAAATTAAATAATTAAACAATCTGAACATATTTGATTAAGTGATCAGATTTAAACTCACCAAGTTGTAATTTTCTTGGTTTCTTCCAGCAGGCTATTTATCAATCTCAATGTAATTAATTAATTGCCAAAATTCTCAAAATTCAACAATTAGTTCAATCAATGCTACCTAATTCAACAATTAGTTCAATGAATACAACCTATATGGGTTTGCATTCACTTCAAATTTTTCTTTAAAATGCTAAATAAACTTCTTTAAAGAAAAACTTTTTTAATAAGTTTAAAGGCAAAGTTTTACACCCTCAGTTATCTATAAGTGGCATGCAAAACTTTCTTTTAAATAATGTTTAAATACTTACTTAGAATTACATTCATGTAATAAATGACTTTATTTTAACCAAACTAAATTTTACTATTATAATTTGTTCTTATTTTGCATATTACCCATTTTTCAAGAAAATATGGTTTTTGCCTGAAGTCTCATAATTAGATAAAAATTTTAATTCTGATTTATGAGTCATAATAAACTAAATTTAATTAAATTTTTTATTTATTAATTTTTTTTCGGAGTTGGGAGAATGCTAGTTTGAATTTCTTTTAGAAACCATAGTTCCTTTTGTAATTACAAAAATTAATTTTCTTTTTTATTATTTTGTTAAAACTGTTGTACACTCATTATTAAAACAAAAAGCAATGTGCATAAATTATTTTATGCGTATATGGTTTGCAGGGTAATGCAAAGAAAATGTCTCAGAAAGTTTAATTTTTTTCCATATATTTATTACATACTTATTATATTCTTTTGAAATTGGGCTTTTAAGCTTTGTTAAGTTATTTTAAAATTAGAGTTTTACATCTTTATTTTGCGACTAACAAAATTAATTTAATTGATAAATAAGTTAAGTTATCTTGACTTTCCAGAAAACATTTTTCTTTAAAACTAGTTTTCCCATGTCAATGTAATTTTCGAATTTTTTAAGTGATACAATAAAGACATTCTTAAGTATTGTAAAACAAAATGTTAAGAGATTCACATGTGAAAAATAACGTTTTGGAGCTTCCTATAGAATCCATTATTAAGTTTGTTTTTTCTTTCTGACAAAATTAATTAATAACAAACATCAATTGATCTATGTTTTATGCATTATCCTTCAAGTTATAAAAAGAAAAGTTTTTTTGAATTAAAACTATTAAATAAAAAATATTGGGGTGTTTTATATATATATATATATCTTAAATTTATTTCATACTTATTCATCATTCAAAAACTGTTTTGCAATTTTCAAAGACTGCTTGTTACTATAAGAAACCTATACATTTTTCTCTAGTATAAATTACTTTATATATTGCACCAAGTTTCAGGTTCATTGTTCTTATTTATAGGAACTGCTGTAGTTCTTGCAAATGTTGCTGCTTTATGGACTGACGGTAGATATTTTATTCAGGCGGAAAAAGAATTAGATTGCAATTGGTTGCTGATGAAAAGAAATGAAAAAGATACACCAAAGATTTCAGATTGGATTATTCAAAATCTGGAGGCAGGTCAACTTGTTGGTGTTGATCCAAAACTTATTCCATACTCAGAGGTACTTACTCCATATTGCTCTTGAAATATTCTATTTATTTAACATCGGTTAAAAAAAAAAAACATGGTGCATTCCAAAAATGACAGATGAGAGGGAAAAAAGTTGAAATGAAAGAGAAATGTATTGCTTGCTTCATTTTACTTAGGAAACCAAATGATTTACTCTCAAAATTAATTGAAAAGTTTGTCAATGGATATATCTTCTAAATAAGATTCTATAAAACATTGAAATCTGAGAACAAAATCAACTGTTGCTCTTACATTTGGAATGATCGGACACGCAACTGGAAGCATTGTTCCACTGAGCAGTGCCATCTGTTGACAAACTTCGTAGCTAATTCTTAAATTTTTTGAGAAGCAATTTGGTCTCTATCTGACCACCAGAGCTGCAGCCCAAAAATGATAAATAGTGTTAGCTATACAATGTTGTGATTTGAATTTAACATAATTTTTTCTTTTCTCATCAAATATGATTATCAGTTTAAGCAGAATGTAACAAACTATACATTTCTATTTCCGTCCATTTTTCTTTATATGATTTTTCCAAATCCTCTGTTATTTCTTTGAAACTCAGTAAAAATAGCTTGAATATTTTTCCATGTTAATTTTATCAAAATGTTCATTTTTATAGTCTTTTTTCACCAATGCAAAACAAGAGGAAAAATTTAAACCAAATATAAAGGTAAACTTATTTTTGTAGTGTCCTATGATATTTGTGTGACATGAGAGAAATAACCTTAAAAATCACGGACGGTTTATTTCATAATGACGAAAAACTGACTCAAGATCAGTTTACCATTGGAAATTTTTATACTAATGTATGTGGGGGTGGTATATGAATGCAATTTTTGTAGCTGATGTGAAAAATTCTGTAGCTTGCAGCAAACCTACTTCACTTAGTTTTTGACTCACCTCATGTCTTATCCAAAAGCATGAACATAGAGTAGGACCAGGACAGTGCATTAACTGCAAGGAAAGTTCAAGGTTCAACTTGGAGGCTGGCCAATTTTGTGCAGGTCTAAACTGAAGCCTTCATGATGTTACAATCATCACTTAATTGTTAAATGCCACATAGCGAAGAAATTACACGACGAACATAAAAAATGTAACATAATGAATGAAACATGATGAAGTGTATAATTTGATAACAAAAATCAGAGTTTAGAACAAAACATTTTATAACAAGCATTCATATTAGCATTGAAGTACAAGTGACAGCTCTATTCAAACTCTTACATAATTTATGTAAAGACAATGCTAACACACCTTATCAATAGTAAACTACTAGAATTACATCTGATTTAAAAATATGTGGGAATCTCAAGCCATGAGATAAAAAGAAGCAATGTGATGTAGCAATCAATAACTTTTCTCTCTAAAACAGACTCCACATTCGACCAAACAAGCACAAATAAAAAAATAAAAAAACAATGTTAACAATTAATTTAGTAGTTAGATTAGTAACTTCTGTTGATTGTAAATGTTATTAAAACTAAGCTATATCTACTCTCGTCATTTGACAATGACCTAAAAGGAATTTACTCTCAAATTGTTAAACTTTGTAATTTTGAATCTAACTCAGTAAGGACATGTTGTTATAGAATACTTTTTTTTTGGGGGGGGGGGAGAAATGACCATTGTATGTGATTAAAACCTGTTGTAGTTAACCCTAAGACAATAACTGAAACACATAGATTTGACCACGAAACTAAAGATTAATCTATATTAATAGATATCAACACTTGCTAGGGTATGTTACACTTTTATATGCCCAGTTGTATGACATCAGTCTTGATTGTTAAACACCAAAATAAAAGAATAATGGTGAAAAAGTAAATTCTTAATTTTTTTAATTGATATTTTAGACTATTTTTATTCATTGTTTTTGAATATCATAGATCATAGACATTATGCTCTAAATAAATATGCTTATAATATATTTTAATATTTATTTTAATATATATTATTGATTTGTTTTTATAATTAATATACAATGAGCTTAAGCAAATAAATAACTCCATGGGGCTAATATAGAGACATAGATAGGTAGGATACTGTGGACGTGTCAATATTGGTCTGTTTGGGATAGTGTAGGTTTATTCTTAACACATCATTCATTGGGGTATCTGTTTGCTAAATTAGAATAATTCTGTCAAGTACTTAATATATTTACTTTTTTTTTCCATTTCAGGCTTTAGTTTGTTGAATTCTTGTTGAATGTAAATTTTATTTGTTGAAATAACTTTGCACTGTGAAAAAATTAAGAAAAATCTGATGCTTTAACGCATCTTTTTTTTTTTTATTGATAGCATCGATAGCAAATAAATTTTTTCATTACAAATAAATGTATATTTCTGAAAATTTTTAATGTTATTTTATTAAATAAAAACCAAATTCAACTTAATTAATAAAAAAAAAAATTCTTCTTTGGTGGTTCAATATTGCATCCTTGTTTAGAATATAAACCAAAACTGCATAATGCAAAAAATAAAAGAGTGAGTTCCAAAAAAGTGGGTTCAGTCAAGTTTTACAGATAGGTAGAATGTCCAGTCGTGAAGCTTTTACTCAATATTATGAGACCGGGACCGGACATAGTCCGTTCATGACGCTGTATATTTTAATTTTAGACTTATAATAAAATAGCTTATTTCTTAAAAACAGTTTTTTACGTAGTTGATATCTAGTTCAATTGTTATAACAAATTAATTTTTATTATACTTTAGCATTTATTAAACTATATATTGTTAAAATTGCATTATTTATTTAAAACTGAGTTTTTAAATTAAAATTAGTTCAATTTCGGAGTTATTTGCTTTTTTTAACGATCCATTTTATGACTTGTCTTCATTAACCTTATATTATGGGGCTTGTGTGAACATATAAAAAGAAATACATCCAAATTAGCTTATGCATTATTTAAAATGAAAATAAATATTCGAGTTTTAATTAAAGAAAAATACTTAATATGTTTTATGATCAATCTTTTATTTTTTTATTTTTTTGGTAAATCTTTCAAAATGGCCTACACTAGTTCTCTTTCTCAGTTTTGAAAAACGTTATATGAAAACCGATTTACTTGTTTATTTCAGTGGATGTTTTTGGAAAGTGTGCTGAAACGATCGAACATTTCACTAGCAAATGATAACAGCAATCTGATTGATGATATCTGGGATATTCCTCAGGGAAGGACACCAGAGTCTGTTGCTCATATTACTGTGCATGACATAAAGTATGCTGGTAATGCTTATGCATTTATGAAAATTACTATTATGTTTTTATTCTTCATTTGCCTCAGCTAAAACATGCATTCGAATATAAGTTGAAATATACTTTTTAATAGATAGCAAAAATAATGCAGCTGCTTCCACATACAAGTGTGCAAATGACTGGTGGCAAAATAGGTGTTGGTAAAAACTATTAAATTACTAATGCCTGTATATTAAATTATTATACTATAAATTGTATTTTTTATTTTATATACGTATATATACACCGAAGAGACATTACATTATGACCACCCTCCATCTATAACAATGGGCTNATATTCATATATATATATATATATATATATATAGTATTTCCTTTTTATTGTAAATAAATTAATTGATGTAAGAAAATTTTTTGTGTTTTAAACTTTAGTATGACTTGAGTTCTGGCTATTAGTTTTGGTTATTTAGTTTTATCAAGTTTGGGCTATTTAAAAAAAATCATGCTTTTGTAATTGAATGTGGAATTTCACAGTACAAAAGCTGGAAAATAGAATACTGAGCAAACTAAACAATTTGTTTTATTATATATTCAGGTTACCCACATTACTAAAATATAGTTTAAATAAATAATTAAAAAAGCAAAATTAGAATGCATGGAAACAATGTAGGGAAAAATTACTTCAACTGAAAGTTTATTTATTATTATTACTTGTTCCTTACCACATTTGTTAAATTTGCATGCACTGTAGTAGCTCTCAAATATATAATTATATTGTATATTTTTATAGCTTGATAAAAAGTGTGGACAAATTGTTGAGCACAAAATATATGTTAGCATATAATAAACTTATGTTTCTCTAAAAAAATTAGGTTCCTTCTATTATAAACAAATAAAATATGAAGGATTAAAAAAAAATAGAACTTGAATTACTTTATGGCAGTATCTATAATATGAACTAATGAAAATTACTGATTTTTGAAATAAGAGTACTTTGGGACATCTTCAAAGCTGTGAAAATGAATGACATATGGCAAGTTTGGTACAATCAGGAGTTATACACCAAAATTTAGTTAATAAAATTTATCTTTACAGTTATTGAATCTTACAAAATAAGATGGCTGCGTCACATTTATACAAAAAATGTTACTGACCCAATTTATAAGCTGTCCTTTGGCTAATATATTGTTACAGTAGAACATGTGTAAGTTGATAGCTTGTGGTTTATTGATATACAATAGGTAGGTGATCAGGTTTCAAAGGTTTTAACTCCCATTAAATATGTATGATAAATTCAGTTCTTGACAGTAGAGATCAACTCAGACAAGTAGCCAACATTCAAAGGTGGTCAACCTGACAGGTTTCACTGCACCCAAAAACAGAAAGACCAAATAGGAGATTAACCCCTTAACAATCGGTCAATTTTCAAGAAAACGGTCATAAAAGTGCCTATTTTTTTTTACCCCTGAAAATTATACACTTATTTGATTAGTGCTGACATCTAGTTTAAAATAAACTATCTACAATTATTTTGAAAATATCCTGGTACTGCCATCTGGTGTGTAAAGTAGGAAATAAAATGTTTTCTGGGTAGAGGAAATGAATTAGTTTTATTCTTATTGGCGCGTTACTACTGAACACTCCAGTCCGGAAATATCATGTGAGCAGGAAATAGAGAGCTAAACCTCACTTCTTCATTTTCAAGAGAGCAATAATGAAGGGGTTAAGAAATAGATTGCTTAGAAGAAGATTTTTAAAAGGTCATCAGAAATCCTCCCAACTGATAGAACTAATTGTAAAGACTGTCCTGCTCGCAAGGTATAAAAAATCAGTGCCATTGAAAAAAATGAATTGTGTTCCATAAAAAAAAATTTTAAATATTTTTTTTAATTGAATGAATGGAACTCTGATTGTTAAAAGTTGGAATGACAGTTGATGCATCTTAAATTATAATTTTCAACATGTTTATTGTTATAATTTGTTTGACTGTATGGGAGCTGTAAACTGTAATACTCCATGAAACTACCTGCATTGTCGAGTGACTGCATTTTTATACTAATACATCATCTGGAGTTTTGTTGTAACAATGAATAATGTTTGTCGTGAAAGAAAACCTGTATTTTGCATACGAATGTCAACAGTGATTACATAACTATCATTGATATACGTAGTTGTTAATTTTGTTAAGCATAATTCTATTCAATTGCTAATTGTATAAACTAAAAAACTTTCAAAAATGTGATATTTTAATAACAATTTTCTTCTCTCTTCTCACTCATGAATGTGTTTTTTCTTTCCCCAGGAAAATCATGGGAGGATAAGATGAAAGAACTGTTAAAAATTTTGAATGCTAAAAATGTTGAAGGAACTATAATATCTGCATTAGATGAGATTGCTTGCAAGTTTCCTTTTTTTTCCATCATTATTTGCTTATTGATAAATTTTAATTTATTTGATAGAAAATACTACTTTTTAAAAATTTATAATGAAATTATATGTGAGAAATGATATTTCGAATTTAAAACTATTCATCTTATTGTTTAAAAAAATGGAACTATATTATCTGCATTAGATGAGATTGCTTGCAAGTTTCCTTTTTTTGTCTCTTATTATTTGTTTATTGATAAATTTTAATTTATTTGATGGAAAATACTACTTTTTAAAAATGTATAATGAAATTATATGTGAGAAATGATATTTCGAATTTAAAACTATTCATCTTATTGTTAAAAAAAATGGAACTATATCTGTATTAGATGAGATTGCTTGCAAGTTTCCTTTTTTTTTTTTTTTGTCTCTCATTATTTGTTTATTGATGAATTTTAATTTGTTTTATAAAAAATACTACTTTTTAAAAATGTATCATGAAATTATATGTGAGAAATGATATTTCGAATTTAAAACTGTTCATATTATTGTTAAAAGAAAAATGGGGGTTGGGGCAAGATTGAAATAGCACTTTAATAACTTTTTTGTACAAGTCTATTTTAACATTTTTATTGATGTATGGAATTTTTACATATGTTATTAACTAGTTACTTTCTATATCTTTTTTTTTCGCATGTTTTTTTTCTCTCTTCAATTAACCAGTTTTTAATAAAAAGTTTCAGTCATAGTGAGCTTTAAAAAAGAATAAAAAATGCACATTTGTTTTAATTTTTAAAAAAAAATTATATTTGTTGTTAAAAAATGTTAATTTTTAATACGCAAAACCATTTTAAAAATTCTATATTGACAGGACTTAAAGGAAGATTTAGGAAAATAGAAAATTTAAGTTTTATTCATATATTTTTGTTGTGGTTAATAAAAAAAAGTAGAATAGTTATGCAATTTTTTTTTATAGTTTTATGAAAATCTGTCATTATACATGATTATTTCAGTAAATGTCATTTATTTGTGATTCAATTTTGTAGTGGTTTCTTTTGTAGCATTTTCATAGAAAATTTTTTATCAGTGTACATCTAAAAGTGCAATAAACTTAAAATCTTTTTAGTTTCTTCCTTTTTTAAAAAAATATTTCATACAAATTATTTAAATAATCTTTAACGCATGTTTGTAGCTAAATAATGTATATTAATTGTAAGAAGATTAGTGTCCTGTTTTATGCATCATATTTGCATGCATTATCATTTAATTCAAAGATAAAGAAATTTAAAAATATCTGGCAAAACAAACCTTTAAGTATTATAAATTGCTTCCATGGCAACCTGATAAGAAAATGTAATCATATCTTGTGTTGTTTAGTTGAAAAATAACAGTTTTTTAGTTAATTTTTCCCTATTAATTTGCAGGGTTGTTTAACCTTAGAGGTCGTGATGTGCCATATACTCCAGTGTTCAAAGCTTATGCCTTTGTTTCAATTGCAAAAACAAAGTAAGTCGTGATAACTGTTTCTTGTGGAAAAGCTCAAATATTGCTTATTAATTTGTCTTTTTTTTATAGAATTTATGTAAAGAAACTGAAAGTTACACCAGAGGTGCAGCAACACTTGTGTCCAAAGAGCACAGAGGAATCTCAGTGTGTTCAAGTACTAATTTGCATTTCTCAATAAGCTTTCTTTGAAATATAAAAAAATAAGGAAAGAGTTTGGTAACTTCATATAATTTACCTTTTTTTCGTATATATATGTAACAGACAAAGGAATATGTGTAATAGAGAAGACTATGTTTAATATTGGTCGTCATACATATGTCTTGGTTATTGTGGTAAACACTAAATGATGTGTGAAGCCCAAAAAAAAATTAGCAATATTACTAAGAAAACTATTAACGTGTATCTTTGATCATGCAAATTATGCCAAATATGATTAAAATCATGGAAAGAGAGCTTGAAATGAATAGTCCTTAAAAAGTCAATTCAATTGACATGCAGACTAATCCTGATAGAGATTACAATCATAAGTTTTTCTGATGAAATTTGCTGAACTTTGACCATTGAATAGTAAAGCTGCTAAAAATATTACTTAGGTATTTTTTTTTAACATTTTTTGTCCCATGCATTTTAGTCTAATAAGGGGAAGGCAAAATAGTTGAAAACTTTACATTTATGTGGACAAAGTTAAAAACAAACCATGGGAAATCACATTTTAGTCTTAGCCAAAGGCATCAATACAAGAGCAAATCAGGGTGCTCAGAAATTTGAGGAATGATAACAATTTTGTAAAACAGCCAGAATGACTTAAATTAATGAAAAACAGAACCTATCATGATGGTATGAAGTATTGAGCATAAAAAAAAAAATTTTACCTTGCAAAAATCGGTCACTGTTTTTACATTTCTCTCCAAAACAAGAAGTACTTTTAATCTTTGAAAAAAAAATTGCTATATTTCTGATAAAGATAGAATTTAAAGCATTTCAATATAGATAAAATTTATGTTTTACAAGCACGAAAATTAATGCTTGATTCTTCTAAATTAATGAAAATGTTTGTTTTGAATTATATTTTACTTTTTTGATGATCATTTAAATTTACTTGTAGATAGAGGAGTACAATCAAGCATTCCAGGATATGAAAAAGATGATAAATGAAAGCAAAAAACTTTTAGTATCTTCTTCTTCAAGTTATGCAGTTGTAAATTTAGTACCTGAGGTTAGTCTGATAATTTTTTTTTTTTGGATTCAACCACTTTTTAGGCCTCAACTTTAAAACTGAAAAGTTTAATTTTTTTACCTTTTTCTAAATTATAGTTTTATTATCGGAGCTACTTTTCGTTCTCTTAATTTTTTAACTTGGTCATAAAAATTTTTTGAATGGGACAGTAAAATATAATGTGTTTCAATTTTATTTATAATAGTTGCTATTATTCCACTTTTAGGCATAGAACTATTTTTGATTTTAGAAGCTCTGGCAACATAATGGTTGGTATTAAGGGAATGGTGCTAAAAGCATGATAACAAGAAAACTGCTGAACCAACCTAATTTGCAGTAGATACTATTTAAACTATTGGAATTTCAGTTTAAAGAGAAATGAAATTCTCATCTAATAATTATTTAACAGTTAAAAACTAGATTACTTATTTAAAAGAAAAAATAGTTCAGTTTTTCCACTAGGGATCATGTAAGATAATTTTTGGTGTAAAGCAAGTTTAAGCATAGCAAGTACAGAACATTAACATTTTACACGCATTTCAATTGGAGCATTCCGTTTCGATCCACAGTTGTATTTAACACTTGCTCTTTATATAACACAATAGCAACTGTATCACAATTTAGCATTTATATGCAATGCTTAAGTACAAAACCAAGGCTATTTGAATGGTTGTCCTACTTCAATTAACTACTTACATATTTTTTGTAGAAAGCACTGAGTTTTTTTCCGGTTGATTTGAAGCATTAACATTCAACTTTCTCTGTTAGGGTCAAGCAAGGTAAAATTCTTCACTTACTTCATGGCACAAACCTGATGCTTTCTCTGTCACAGTGCGGAACTTTTATATGTTTCGGCTGAATAAAATTTGATATCAATGTGAAAATACATAGAAAATTTAATTTCATATGTTTGTTGTAGCAAACTTTTTTTATTCCTCTTAAAAATTCCCTGTTCTAAATTATACATTTTCAGCATTTGCAATAGCGTGATAGGAAATTTGGTTGAGTATGTTTCAGCAGTTTTCTTGCTCTACAGAAAGGTAGAGGAAACATAATAAATTCTCTAATATAATGATATAACCCTCTGCATAACAAAAAAAAGTAGAGAGCTATTAACACCTCTACTTTAATTATGGCCACCCTGTATTTCATTATAAAACTGTTTAAATGTAAATTTAAACAGTTTTTTGCTACTTTGCTATCTAGCCTTGTTTTTATTATTTAGCATTTCCCAAAGATGGATGCCCATAGTCAACTGCCGCTGGCTCATTATAATACTAATTTTGAATGCTTATTTATGTACTTTTGATATTTTAATTACTATTTTTCTTGCACAGTTGTTTAATTATATACTATATAATTATGCCATGTAGTCGTATCCCTTTTGCATCAGTAGAATGTGAAATTTTTTATTTAAAAGCATGTTGTGATCAACTGTTTTTGTTAAACTTGAAATTTGCTTTCAAATTATTAAATCCATAGCATGTTTCTTTACAAAAAAAATTCCTTTTTTCTAAATAGCTTTTTACTGTTGCTGTAGTTTTCTTGCTGATATTTCTTAATTCCTGCATGAAACTTCTTTAATTGCTTTGCTTGACTTGAATTTAATTATATTATACTGTATGCTTAACTTTCTTTCAAGGATAAAAGGGTTCTCAGTGATGAATCACCTCCTTTATCTACTCTGAAAGTTGTTAAAAACCCTGTTGAATTAGCTGGAATGAAAAGGGCAGCTGTAAGTAAATCATCAATTTAGTTTTTGTCATCTAGAATTGAATTCCCATTTATGATCATGGAAGAAACTGCAGAAGGGAAATTCCATTTCTTTCACTTGTAAAGCATGTTTGATATTGTATTTTACCTAACATTTGTTTTTACATCTTGAGGATTTTAATAAATATGAATAAAATCATTGTTATGTCATCAAACTAAGAAAGATTATTTCAAACAGATATTCATCTTTAGATGCTCTATTTGTAAAATAATAATAATTTTAGTAAAAAAAAAAATTGGAAAGATTTATCCATGCCTAAGCTAACTTTCTACAAAATTTAAATACCTACATAAAAAGTTTTATTAATATTTATAAAATCTGGAGACTAAAAATAAAAGTAGAATTTTTAATTGTCTTAATCTTGTTTAATTGTGAAGGTAGGGGATCACTGGTATCTCCTGAATACTACAACTACTAAATAATATTTAGTTCATTTGATTAATTATAAAACTGCATTCTTATTCTTAATATATTTATTTAGTTTTGAAAATAGGAGTTAGTTTTAAACTAGTCTGCTGTTATGTTTTTTAAAATTATTTACTTTTTGCATTTACAAATTGTTAACTGTAAGTCTGCTTTATTCACTTGTTTCCAAACTGTTCTTGTATAATTGTTTTCCTAAAACAGTGTTCTCATGATATACTTTATTAAAATACAAAAAGAGAACCTGTAAATATTGTTAAAAAATGTACAAATTAAAAAAATTTTGTTCTAAAATACAATTTTTCTCAGTACTATATTGATATATTTAATGAAAGCTTTTCTAAGCTAAAGAAATTTAATGTTTACATAATGCTTTTTTTTGGAACATGTTATTGAAAGTTTGCTTTTACCTCACCTCAGTAATTTAAAAGCTTAAAATTTAAACCTCATTTTAATATCGATTATATAGAGTTTGACTGCAATATAATTTTTTCTAATTAAATGAAAAAACACTTAAAATATTATTCATGAAAAATAATTGTATAAATCATTTTCTCGATAAGTTTTTATAAAATTTTTTTATATATATGTTGCCATCAAAGTATGAAACTTCTATTTCTAGGCATTGTAATGCTGGATGTTTTTTGGCAAGGTATGAAATATGAGAAGCATTACATACTTTCCCTAGGNTGAAAAAAACATACTGATGAGGTTATTATGTAAATAATGTGCATTTCTCAAAAATAAAAATGTTATTCTGAAAAAATAATGAGAGTGTCATTAAAAACAATTTATGCAAAATGCATAAAGAAAAATTAAAGTTGTACAAAGTATAATTTATGCCTTTTTTATTAAGATTACTTGACTCTCCCATACAAACCGCAAAGTGCAACTGACAAATTCTGAACTAGAGATGCGCGCTAAAAGTCACGTGCCTTGTCACGTGATATTTGAAATGAATCGGAGATGTCTTTTATACTTTGCTTGTTTCTCATTTAGCATTCTATGGAATGCCTAGGAAATGTGTGAAATATAAATTATATCATACATTGCCGGCTAGTTTTAGGCATTATATGCAATGCCTAGGCATTCTTTAGAATGCCGGATTTCATACTTTGCTGGTAACATATTTATAAAATAATCACAAGAAAGCCTTTAAAGTTTTTATCCACTCTAATAGCATTGTATAGCAAGCTTTATATTTTGTTAAAGTTAATGAATCTCAATTTTATTATTCAAAATTAACCAAAAACAATTATTATTTTTTCAATGTTTCTGAATTAATAAATTATTCGTTTTACTTATATTTTAGTTAAAAGACTCAGTAGCAATAGTAGATTTTATTGCTATGCTTGAGAATCAAGTGAAAGGAGGTAAACACTGGGATGAGATAAAAGCTTCTAAAGCATTATCGAAATTCAGACGGTAGGTAAATATTGACTATTTTAATATTTACATTTTATATTATTGATTTATGTTATTTAATTTCAATTTTTAGAGAACAGGAATCAAACCAAGGTGACAGTTTTGAAACAATATCTGCCTTTGGTTCCAATGCTGCTATAATTCATTACAAACCTCAAGTTTTAACCAATCGAAACATCAATACAAAACATCTTTACCTTTTAGACACTGGTGGACAATACTAGTGAGTAAAATTTTTATCTTCATATTTTCAATGTGCTTTTTTTAAGGAAGTTTACATACTTTGGAAATTGTTTTACTTGTTTTGTGTGTTAAGTTATTAATTGAAAGTCTTATTTGAACAGTGGACATCTCTGCTTATAACTTCTCATTTTCATGCTCATACAAGTCATTTCAGTCCTGCAGTGAACTGATCGTTAAGACACGGTTCCCATCAAATCACCGAAGTCAAGCATCACTGGCTGCAGTCAGTGTGTGGGTGGGTGGCCACTTTGATCAGCCGAGAGGACTGAGGGTGTGCGGTATGGGTCCTCGTTAAACTGTTGTACTGTGAAGTACTTGATTTTGCTCACAGGTCATTGTATTATCGAAGTGGGGGTGCCATCTCTTCTGCAGAAGATCAACTGTTGTACTGTAAAGTGCTTGATTTTGCTCACAGGTCATTGTGTTACCGAAGTGGGGGTGCCATCTGTTCTGCAGAAGATCAAAATTCTGTTTGCATGTCTTCAGATCATCCTGAGGGATGCTTCCTTGACCCTTTTTTATTGAGAAATAGTTACTACTAGATATATCAAAATAGATATATTATGTTTTTTATACTTGTTTTAGTAGCACATGAAGTTTTTATGCAGTTTTTTTTAATGCTGCTAAATTTATGACAATTGTTTATTAAAAATTTAAAACTTTGATAAAGTGAAAAGAAAATAAGTGACTATCATTTAAATAAAAGGTAGTTGTCTTTTGTTGTTATTTAATATCCAATCCGAGATCAGGTTTATCTGGTCTGATCAGAATTTGTTGATAAATAAAAAATCAATGATGAAAAATTTTTTTACAGAGATCAAAACAGTCGATAATGTATTCAGCAGAGGCCTGGTGTTGATACTTTGGGCAAAGGGGTAGGTTTTATTACCCTGAGAAAAATTTAAAACATTTCAGGTGGCTTCTGGCAAGGCGCTGCCTGCAAACTGCATTTTTACTGTGATCTTTGTTTTTGCTCAACCGTAAAAGCCAACGCTTTAAATTCATTAAAGAACTACACGGCTTTTGATGTTTTAATTTAGAAGCTTTTTATGTGATGCATACAAGAATTTGAAATTAATGATCCTAATTATTTTAGTTATTGATGTATTTTTAATCTTATTTCACATGTTTTGTTTTATTTATGCCAACTTTCTACGAGTAATTTGTATTTATGCTATTACAACTTGTTTCTATATTAACTAAAGGTATTATGGTGTATTTTTTAGTGATGGTACTACAGATATCACTCGAACCTTTCACTTCGGTCAACCAGCTGTGGAAGAAATAGTAAGGAATTTTAAAGACATTTTCTATCATTTTTTTTCTCTTTTCTTTGTAATATATTTTATTTAAAAAAAAATTTTGTTTGCATGATTAGTGACAGTAAAGGAAAATATAAATAAAAATATTTAAAGAAAAATCTGAAGCATCTGAAAATATTAAATGTTCCAATATACCAATTCAGCTGAGACATGCACATTTAAAAAGATGTTTTATGTCAAACATTTTATACAATACTTAATCACTATTAATTTATATTGTCTATATGGTAACTGGCCATGTAATTCACTTGCTTTTGTGATATTTTTGAATTTTAGATTCGTAATAGAACCAAAACAATTAGTCTCTTTCTTTTCTTTCTGTTAAAACATTTTTAAATTTCAATCTCTTTTATTATGTGATCATTGATTGCGGTAAATATTTTATTAATTAAACTGAACTCAGTGGCTCGACAGCCCATGGAAAGCCAAGGCCTACTGTGCCCATCTCAGTTTTTTTTACCTTGGGCTCTGGGGGGCAGGAGCAGATGTTATGGTCAGGTGTTCAACCGAACTCAGAACCCCCAGTGTTTAGTTCCCAAGCATGCTTGGTACTCATTTATCGACCCACTGAAGAAATGAAAGGCTGAGTCAACGTTACCCGGCCCGAGGATCGAACCCAGGACCTGTGGCGCGGGAGAGCGAAGCACTACCACTCAGCCACCGGGTGTCTTATTTAAATATTACATAACATACAATATTACATAACCATACATACATACAATATTACATAACCATATTATTTATTTCCTGATTCTCTCTTGTCCGCAAGAACAAGAAAAATCTTACCTAGTCTTCTGTAAGAAACTCATAACTTTCTTTTATTTTTACTCTAGTAATTTAATTTTAGGATTAAACCCAAATAAAATATGTAATTTATATTAAAAAAATAGTGTTATAAAAATTTTAAACTCTTTGAAGAAAATTTTTTCATTAATAATACCAGAGAATTTCCTACTTTATAACACACAGTATTTAATGCCGTAATGTTAACAGTATAGAAATTTATTGCTCATAGCTCATATTTCGAAACCTTTTGAAAATAATATGCATTTTCAAAAACCAGATAGCTTCACATCAACTACATACTAATTTGTGGAAAAATTTTTGGATTTTTTTTCCATCTATTTCTTTTAAATTAGATTTTTTGTTTTGTAATTACTTAGGATGTAATAATTCTAACAAAAAAATGGAAGGCAAGAACAAAAGACAACGTGGTGGCCAAACGTGGTAAATCAGGGGAGATTGCATTTTAATTTGAAATGAATTAGTGGGTTATTTATTATAATTTAAATTAACAAATTAAAGATTTGGACAGTTTAAATAGGCAATTCTTAAAGTCTTTTGAAGGGCATAAATGTTTAGGATTTTTTAATAAAATGTCTTAAGGTTTGTTTTTTTTTACTAAAAGATATGGAAAGTTTTGCAAAAATGAAATTTAAAGCAATAACGGGACAAAAATGTAATGAAGGATCAATATTTTGAGACATCATGAAAGTTTTGACATGATCAACCAATTGCATGAAAGATTTGCATTTCTTTAACAGTTTTATAACAATAACTGTTCAAGCAGTTGCCAAATCTACATCATTTTCATATGATGCTGACAAGCAGTACTGCATTTTGGGCACTCAAAACATACCCTCTTTTCTATTTTCATAATGAATTAAAATATATTTTTGTTTCAAGTAGATTATAATTTTCTCTTCAGTTTTTTTAAATTTTTTTGTTTCAATAAATTCATTTATTATTCATTATTATTGTTTAACTTAAGGAAGCTTACACCAGAGTACTTATGGGAGCCATTGACCTCTTGGCTGCTATTTTTCCAGAAAATACAAAAGGTACGCAATACTTAATTGTGCTGAAAAGTTTTTTTTTTTTAATTTTAAATTTTTCTGAATGTTATAAACTGTCAAAAGAAAGTACTCATTGTATACCTAAGTGATTTTTATTTTATTTTAGGAATAGATTTGGACATAATAGCAAGAAAACATCTCTATGATGTAGGATTGGACTATCAGCACGGTACTGGACATGGCATTGGATATTTCCTCAGCGTGCATGAAGGTAACCTTTTTCAATACTGCTATATGATATATTCTAACTCTATAACTGTTCTTGATACATATGTACTTTTTTTTCAGCACTGTTATAATAATTTAAATAGATAAGTGAAATAAAAGCTTATGGGGGGGGGGGAAACCAAATATATCTAGCATGCAAAAATAAAATTTTTATTTTTATTTTCTTATGATGTAAAATATTATGTAGAATGCATATATTTATTTTATTATTAAGATAAGTAATAAAATGATTTTTCTAGGTCCTATTTATATTGGTAGAAGACGACAAAAATTAGGAAGCTCCTTGGAACCAGGAATGTTTTTGTCAGATGGTAATAAAAATGCTATTTTAATTTTTTTCAAACTAGTTAGGAATTACAAGTCCCTAATAGTTAATTTCTCATTAGCATTTTCTGTTGCAAATTAATCAGTAATTTTGAATGCGTAGATTTTGATGAAAGTTTAGCAGAATAACTTTGTAGCTTTGTTATTAAGGTAGTTTTTTTTTCTAATTCATTACCCTTTTAAATTATTTTAAATTTTTTTTTTTTGCATCTTGTTTCTCCTTTAATAACTTTTGACTTAATGGTCAGATTTTAATGTATTTAACTAACTTAAATGTTTGATGGTCTAACTTTAATTATTCTAATTAAGTCATGTAATCATATTAAAAAATGTAATCTTTCTTAATAATCGTTGGATTTTTTGCCCTTAAAATATTGAGGCATCTGCAATCTGGAAAACATGGTCCCAATAATTTAGTCAGGAGTGCAATTGAACTTTTTGATCACTTAATGTTAGTTTAACATTAACTTGTTTCTTTGATATGGAAAAATATTCAAAAAACTGTTGTTGTTTTAATGCCATTTTGCCACACGGGCAAGCCTGCTTGGTCAAACCGAGCAAATTTAAGGCAGAGTGTGCGTTTCTTGTTTATCAGTGACGCCATCTATGGCCAAGAATTCGACTTCTGCCGCACCATACGTCGTACCCGTTTATAGGGCGGGCCCATCCCAGAGGTATTCATCCACAAATCATAATTTTGACCTGAATCAGAGAATGATCGATCTCCAATCCAGTTCCCCCAGAGGTATTTGTCTGTTATGGGAACATGGAGGACTTTTGCGACTCGACAGATTTAACGTGCATAAGTCACTTTACTTCGGCCGGCGGGGTTTGAACCCATGAACTCTCGGACTTGGGCCCAGAGCCCTACCGACCAGGCTATCCCGGCCTCAAAAAAACTAAATTAATACTAATGGATCCAAACTTTTTGCCACAATCCTGACCATGCTATTAGGATCACATTATTGTAAATGTAGATACTTCACAAATTTTGAGGATCCAAATCTGTTAAAAAAAAAAGACATATTTATTCAGAGAAAGTGCGTTTTTGTGTCTGATTTCATTGTTTAAACTATCCCCTGCTCAAATTACTTAGAACATTTTAAGATACATTGAAACACAGAAGATACACAGAACCTTTGAAACATTAAGCTGAGATCTTATTAACTTAAACTCTGACCATTAGATCAAAATATATTTTGTTTTTATGTTACACACTTTTAACATTTTAAAATTTATTGTTTTTTTTTTTTTAAAGAAACCTTATCACATGTTTGCCATAGTCTGATACTGATGTAATTGTCTGTGTTATAATTTACTTAAATTGTTTTCTTTTAACAAATTGTAAACTTTTCTTATTATTTTCAGTTCACTCTGATGTTTATTTGAGATTCGAACCTTTTTTTTATCTATTAATAAATTTTTTATTCCTCCTACAGAACCTGGCTATTATGAAGCTGGAAAATTTGGCATAAGACTAGAAACGATGATGGTAGTTGTGAATGCTAATACTCGTGTGAGTAAGCAAACCTAGCAAAATTGTCAATATTAAATAAGCAAAATAGAAAAAGCTCTGAATTACTTTTTTTCCCATCGTTTTGACTTATTTATGATGCATTATTGTATATATTTGTTGATTAGAAAGAGTTTACTGAAAGTTTGATTTCCCTTGTAAATGTAAAATGTCTTTGACTCATTGAATTATTATTAAACCATCTTTATGTATAGTTACACATATGTGTGAATGGTAACTTGATAAGAACAGGTGGCATGAGTATTTCTGTATAATGATAAATAGTATTATTTAATCCAATACTTATATGATCCAATACAGTGCCCACTGTACACTAAAATCACTTTTATTCTGAGAACATTTGATTTTGCAAAGAGGCTTATTTTATAAAAATTAACACTTAGGATAAAAAATAGTGACAAATTTAAGCTTTGAATACCTACTATTGCAGTTAAATTTATTACTACATTGATATTTTATTTTACTGCATTTGTATTTCAATTAAACATGAGCTGCATTTTTATTTTACGGATAGGTTTTGAAATGTTAGTGTACATACATATTTTCTTGATTAGCAAAATTTGAAGGAAATAATTCAATAGTGTTTATAAAACTTTTTGCCACTTTGAATATTTCTTTTCTGTAACCAGTGTAAGGTTTATTTTAAAATATCGAGTGTATTTCAGACATCTATTGAAGATAGATTTACATTACGGAATGCGTGAGGATCACTGACACTGAAGGATGATAGACATTTCATAATTTTTTTCTATTCCTTGACAGTTTTAGATTCACTTCCTCCATGATTTATTTAATTTGATCTAAGAAGTGAACTTTATTTTTTTTAATTCGTTGCGGGCAGAATTTTTTTTTATTTATTTATATGCTGATCAATTTTCAAAACTTAAGAAAATAGAAAATATTTTTTTCTTTATATATTCTATATATATAGAATATATACATTCTATATATATATATATTTTTTACTCTGCATCATTAAGTATGCAATGATTTATGCTTACCTTGCTGTCATTAACCAGTGGTGTTGTTAAATTTATTCTCAAATCATACTAGTCAATAGATGCTTAGATTCTAAAATAATTCAATTTGTTTTGGGATATTGAATTCAAAGTAAGTGCATCTTATGGTAATGGGCTCTAGACTTGAAATTAGCACTTTACTAGTCACTAATAAAATTATGGTAAAACCTTATGAATATTTGGCCTGATTTAATGTGAATGTCTGAAACAATAGTGATAATCTACTTAAAATTTATAATCAGCGAAATTATTAGTGATAATAATGTGGTAATGATTTAGTGTAAATTAAAGGTAATGATATGGTATGATATTGTATAAATTGCTCTTAAAATGAAACAGAAGAATTGACGTAAACTAACTTGCCAAAAAACTTAATGCTTCAAAATTTATGTCGTCAAAGTCCCTAAATACCTTTGGTTGTTCTAAAAATTATATATGTTTCGAATTATTTAGGCTATTTCTGATAACTAAAATAGACGTAGAAGTTGTAATATATATAATTTATTAATAAATATTTATTTGAAATTACATGATAAAACTAAGATTTTTTTCATACTTTTTATTTTAGACTACTGTTTCCTAAGATTAAAGTACCGGTAAACTCTGCGGGAATATATCATACGAAATGATTTGTAATCATCACCTTTAATATACATTTTTAGAATCTTTATCAAACATTTCCAGATTGATAATTGTGCAAGAAAAAAAAGGGATAATCTTATCAAAATATGTCACTTGAGGAAAAGGAAATTAGAAATATTAAAATAGAATTTTATGGCCTTAGTATTCACCACAATTAAATAGGTTGAATTTCATCATCCTAGCTAATAAGTTGTCAGATTTTGATAATATTTATTTTCTTTCTCCATTCTAATATTAATTTTTGATCTCTAATATATGTATTTTTTTCTTCTTAATTTTGACAAGGATAAAAAAAATTTATATTTAAGGAAATACTCTAAAAGAAAAATGCAGTTAGCTTACCAAAATAACACAGCTTACAATTTGTTACTTAAAAAGTAATCTGCAAATAATATGATAGCTAAGTTTTTATTACTTTAATATCAAGAAATAGCATCCTAAATGGCACCTACTTTATAAAAAACCTTGTGATAAACCAGTAAATTTCGTTTGGATTACAGGAGTAGTCATATCAACTACTGATTGCATTATTTACTAAAATGCTTTTTTATTTTATTTTGTAGCACAGTTTCAATAACGAAAAATTCTATACCTTTGAACCTGTATCATTCGTTCCCTTTGAACCAAAGTTGATTGATTTACAACTTCTCAGTACAAAGCAGGTAAGTTTATTACCAATTATTAAATAAATTAAATTGTATACTTTATTTACTGTAAAGCTATCTATAATACTAAAAAGCTATCTAAAATAACTAATTGATTTTCTGTTTGTATTTCTATTGTTGATATTCTATTAATGCTTCATTGTTCTAATTGTTTTCGTATTTTGAGTATTTTAATGTTCTTTTATGTGTTGTTATTCCTTATGGGTCTGTGCGGAGTGTTTTTACACTCCAGCGAATGATGTACACATCAAGAACTGCTGCTAGAAATTAAAAAAAAAATTAAAAAATTTATTCTAAGAGCAGAAAGGGCATTTTTTTTCTCCTGAAATTGAAATTTTTTTTTGGTTACATTATATATTAATGTTCTCAAACAGAAACATACAGAAATATGTTTATACAGCCAACACACGCTATAACGACGACCCCGCTTGTTCGAGCGAAAACAGGCGTTATAACGTGAGTTCATTATTTCAAGAATGCTAAAAAAAAAGCATAATAATAAAAAGCAAATACTTGACTAATTTTGACAAAACAATAATAATTAAGTGTGTGTACGGAAAAAAACAAAATGAAAACGATATTCAAAATGTTAAGTTAATGTTGAAAAGAATGATTGATGAATTTATTGTACCCTTAAGGAAATTTATATCTNACATACTTCAAGAGGGAGAGCTTTAGCTTCTCCATGAAGAGTGCGAAAGACGTGTGTTGCAAAGGAGGGGGCAAAATATCAGCTCCTAGTTTTTTTTTCTTGCTTTAAAAGATCCGAAAGAAATCGAGTTAAAGGGAGTAAAATTCGAGTGATCGAGAATAATTAACATGAAAGTGAAGATAAAAGGGTCGGGACCTCATAAAAAAAATCGAGTTATAGTAATATTCGAGTTATCGTACTTGGAGTTATGGCGAATTGTCTTTATATATAATTTTTACTCTACATCATTAAGTATGCAATGACTTATGCTTACCTTGCTATCATTAACCAATGGTGTTGTTGAATTTATTCTTAAATCATACTAGTCAATACCTATTAAGTTTCTAAAAAATTCAACTTGTTTTGGGATATTGAATTCAAAGTAAGTGCATGTTATGGTAATGGGCTCTAGATTTGAGATTAGCACTTTGCTAGTCATTAATAAAATTATAGTAAAACCTTATAAATATTTGACCTGATTTCATGTGAATGTCTGAAACAATAGTAATTATCTACTTAAAATTTATAATCAGCCAAATTATTAGTGATAATAATGTAGATCACTATGCGCTGAATGATTCCCCTGAATGATGATCCCTGAATGATTTAGTATAAATTAAAGATAATGATATTGTATAAATTGCTCTAAAAATAAAACAGTGATCTTAATTTTAAAATTAAAATGAACGTGCTCTTAAAATTATTGTGCTCTTAAAATTAACGTGAACTAACTTGCCTAAATGCTTAATGCTTCAATAATTATGTCTTCAAAGTCCCTAATTATCTTTGGTTGTTCTCAAAATTATATCTGTTTCAAATTATTTAGGTTATTTCTGATAACTAAAGTGGACATAAAAGTTGTAATATGTATATAACATTTATTAATAAATATTTATGTGAAGTTACGTAATGAAACTAAGATTTTTTTCATTCTTCTTATCTTGGACTTCTATTTCCTAAGATTAAAGTACCGCTAAACTCTGCATGAATATATTATACGAAATTATTTGTAATCATCACCTTTAATATACATTTTTAGAATCCTTATCAAGCATTTCCAGTTTGATAATTGTGCAAGAAAAGAAAAGATAATCTTATCAAAATCTGCCACTTGAGAAAAAGGAAATTAAAAATATTAAAAAAGAATTTTATTGCCTTAGTATTCACCACAATGAAATAGGTTGAATTTCATCATCCTAGCTAATAAGTTGTCAGATTTTGATAATATTTGTTTTCTTTCTCCATTGTAATATTAATTTTTGATCTCTAATATAAGTATTTTTTTACATAATTTTGACAAGGATAAAAAAAAATTTTATTTAAGGGAAGACTCTAAAAGAAAAATGCAGTTAGCTTACCAAAATAGCACATCTTACAATTTGTTACTTAAAAAGTATTCTGCAAATAACATGATAGCTAAGTTTTTATTACTTTAATATTAAGAAATAGCACCCTAAATGACATCCACTTTATACGAAACCTCGTGATAAACCAGTGCCTCATAAAGTCAATTTTGTTTGGATTGCAGGAGTAGTCATATCAACTACTGATTGCATTATTTACTAAAATGCTTTTTTATTTTATTTTGTAGCACAGTTTCAATAACGAAAAATTCTATACCTTTGAACCTGTATCATTCGTTCCCTTTGAACCAAAGTTAATTGATTTACAACTTCTCAGTACAAAGCAGGTAAGTTTATTACCAATCATTAAATAAATTAAATTGTATTCTTTATTTCCTGCAAGGCTATGTACAATACTGAAAAGCTATCTAAAATAACTGACTGATTCTCTGTTTGTATTTCTATTGTTGATTTAATGTTTCAATGTTCTAATTGTTTTTGTATTTCAAATATTCTGATGTTCTTTTATTTTTTTATGTGTTGTTATTCCTTATGGGTCTGTGCGGAGCGTTTTTAGTCTCCAGCGAATGAACACATCCAGTGCTGCTTCTAGAAATAAAAAAAATTACTCTAAGAGCAGAAAGGGCATTTTTTTTCTCCTAAAATTGAAAAAATTTTTTTGGTTACATTATATATTAATGTTCTCAAAGCATACAGAAATATGTTTATACAGCTAACCCCGGTTGTTCGAAAGAAAACAGGCTTTATAAAGTTATTTATTTTCTATTATTTCAAGTTAAGTAACGTTATTTATTTATTATTATTTATTAATTATTATTTCAAGAGTGCTAAAAAAACCATAATACAGGGATGAGATTTTTCCGCCTTTTAGCGGATTTCCGCCTTTTTCGTTTTTGTCTCTCGAATTTCAGCCTTTTTATCAAAAATTTCGATTCTCTTAAAGTTTATATCTATATATATTCCGCTTTTTCTCTCAGCTGTTGAAATGAAATAATTATATCTATTTCCGATTTGATTATAATACATAATATCGAAAAATATATAGAAAATTCAAGCTACGTAGCTGCCAACCCTTCCGCATACTACTTATTTCAGCTTTTAGCTTTTAAGAGCAGAAAATAAGATATTTTGTCATTTTTACCCGTCCCCTAGATAGCTCGTATTTACCTGATTTTTATTCACGCAATTTCAATATCGTTCATTGCATTTCTTATTTACGAGATTTAAAAATCCATTATAACATCAGAGAAACTGGATGAGAGTATGTTACTGATAGTTTTGCTACAAATCACGTAAGATTTACTGTCGAGAAAATTTAGCTTTTTTGCCTTTTGACCAATCTCATCCCTGATAATAGTAAAAAAAAAAATACTTGACTAATTTTGACAAAGCAATAAGAACTATTATGTATGTAGGGGAAAAAATGAAAACAATATTCAAAATATTAAGTTAATGTTGAAAAGAATGATTGATGAATTTATTGCACCCTAATTTATATCTTTATAACCTAATGAATTCATACATGCTGATTTCCACGTGATGGGGCAATATGCACTTTTGATTATTAGTGGGAAATGATCCATATTTCACTAATCTTTTTACCATAGATCACTTCTACTTTGGATAAGAATCTAGATGGTATTGTTACTCTCTCTTCATTTTGAATTCAAGATGTTAATATTTACATCACCGAATTTATTACCAGCATGCATGCTCAAATTCGCTTTATTGCTCATCATTAATAAGCGCATTTAATCTTATGCTCCCTCATTCATTGCGATGAATGTTTGTGAAATTTAAAAAGCCCTTCCTGTGTTGTCTCCTTGTTTCCTCCGTAAATGTTTCTTTTTTAGGTGAATTAAATATGCTTTTATATAAAAATTTCTCTGTTCGATTTTAATGTAGGGTAAAATCAAAAGAAATCATCATGAGCATTAACAGGACAGCCCTTTGTGAGCCTGGGCCTTCCTCAGAAGACTCTTAATGCTGTTCGTTCTGGGCTCATTCTCACTACATGCCCGGCCCATCTCCCATCTCATTCTACTTAGTTTAATAGATTTAATGATATCATCACTATTAAAGATCTTATAATCAAACGAAGTAGTGATTTTAATTTCTTTGAAACTTGTGTTAAATCAAATGACTTATTGTTAATGAAGTCATTTAGTTTTAAAACCATTAAAATTTTTGACACTTGCATATAAAGTGATTTTCAAGGAAATAAAAAGAAATATTATGCTAAATTTCAGCCTCTATATTGGAATGAATGGTTCAGTGTAGATGTTCTAATGGGTGTTAAAAAAAAATGTTGCGTCTTTGCTATGGAATAGCTAATCGGACTTTGCATCAGCCATTATAATGTAAGAATATCTGTCTTGGCTTTCGTACGGAAGAGCATAAACTGTTTATAATACAAAACATTTTTGAGACGAAATTGCAATTGGGCGTTAATAGCGCATCCATATGTCATTAAACAAAGTCTTTGTACATATTGATGTATGTATGCAATATACGTCCAAGATTTAGTTATAAGTGCCATTGATAGATGAAAAGATTTTCGAAATATTTTTCTGCTACTGTTATGGACCAAGTAGTTATTAAAAAAATAATCGTGCTACCAAAGGAAATCCATGCATTGTTGGATTACCTCTCAGTGAATACCAATAATTATACTTATACTACTGCCCTGTATACCTGTGCCTTAAAAATTCTGAGTAGTAATTTGGAATAACATTATATGCTATTAATAATTTTATTTTTTTTTCCAGAAAGAATGGCTAAATTCATTCAACACAAAAGTACGCAATACTGTTGGAATAGAACTTAAAAAACAGGCACGGGACAGAGGATTGCGATGGCTTCTGTCGAAAACAGAGCCTATTCCAATTGATACACCTTGCGATAATGCTTCATCTTCAGTCTATACATGCTGCTATCTAACTGTTCTATGTTTTATGATCCATATGTTTCAAAAATTGTATTTTCTTAAGTTGTAAAGCTTATCCATAAGTATCATTACCATTTTAGAATGACGAAAGAATATATTTACATTAACATTCATTAATTTCAATTTAACTATTGTTTTTGCCACTTTCATTTTTATCATTGTCACATTTTTTTTTTATAAAATTAGTTTTTCATAAATCTTTCCGTTGTGTGAAGAACCCCCTTTAGAAGGAATCTCTTCCCTTCGCTCTCTGTCTCTGGGCATTTTATTGGCTAGTTAATCCGAAATTTTGAATCCAATGCTTCTCCAGTTGCATTGAAAGACCTTCCACAAATGATTTTGTCTTGCAATAATTATGCATATAACTCAATTGTCTAAATGATTCAATCAGCATCGTGTATATTTTTGCATAGGATGCAATGCAATGATCAAAACTTTGTTTTAAAATTTTTGTTTTCAGACAACATGATTAAAAAAATATTTTTGCTTTTGTTTAAAACTAATGTTTGATATTTATTTGTTTGTTGAAATTAATGAGTCGTAGTGTCATTTTATATTGATAGCAAGATAGTTCGGCTTTTAATATCAATATTATTTGATGATCTTAATCATTGTTTGATTTCTGTACTTAGTAAAATATTCTTTTAGTAAATATTCTTTTAGTAAAAATATTTTTTAAAAATGTTGTTTTATGAATTCTAAGGGCAGGCTATTCTACAATTTGATAGAAAAAATTGGAAATATATATATTATTTTAAATAACAAAGAATCTTCAAAAGATACATCTGTAGAATTTTATTCTCCAAAAAAAGTTATTGTTATTTGACTTGCAGGTTTGTTTTTTTTAATTCGCACTGTAATTGCAAAATGAGAACAAGGTGAAAAATTTTCAAAATAAAAGTATTTGAGGAAATACACGTCAAATTTTATAAAATAAATGTTGCTTTGTGTGATATAACTCAATCTCCACTTCCTTAACTGTTGAGACGATGTGGTCAAGTTTGGTGTCTGAAGCAAATATCATGGTCAAGATAAAAAAATAATTTGATGTCATTGAGTGAATTAAATGCCAGAAATTGAAATGAGCTGTCCTTATAACTCAAGTAATAGAGTCATGGATTGATATCCTCCATGAATGCCAGTCAAATATATTTATATATGTATGTATATATATATATATATATTTATATAGCAACAATATGTTTTTATTACTTCTGTTTGTAGGTTTAGCCTTTTATAGTACATGCTAGACAACAGTTACAAACAGAACAAGAATGTTTTTTAAAAATGGCACATTAATTATTCTATTGCTATCACTAATTTAAACATCCTTGTAAAATAATATAATGAGTAAAAGCATTTGTGAAACTAACGCAATTGTTTGAACAAAAATTGATAAATAAATTTTTTAAATGTAGTTTTCGTTTTGAGAACAAAACAAAAAAAACCTTTTTATTTCTGCTTAACTTGTCTAAAAAATCTTTAGAAGCATTTAATTTTCAGTATAAGTTGATTTATGTTAATATTGAAAGGAACGATTTATGAATAAAATTGATCATCGGTAACTTTAGACTATGTTTTTACTAGAAAGCGTGTTTTCTACTCGTTAACCAGATAAATTCAGTTTTCAATCCGTTCTCTTACATACAGTCAGACCATGATAGGTTTCCATGCTTTCTTTTCTCTCCATATGACGCAATGACGTGTTAGTTTCTCAGGAAAATGCTTTTATGAAACTAGAATTGCCCCCTTGAGTGTTGTTTGATCTAGAAGGCGCTTTTATCTTTATAGAATTCATAAGCATTAGATTACAGATGTAGAATCGTAGCATCAAAATTAGCAAAACTGATATAAGAACTTCTGTTAAATATTTGTGATATGATTAAATTTCTTGCCGAGTATCCAGGGTTTAAGAGACTTACTAAGATATATTTCATTGCACATAATTTACATTTATGGTTATCACGGAACAATTATGCATAATTGCCTTGGTAGTGCCTTGATAATTGATCTTGATTGAAACCGTATGCAACCAGTGTGCGACCTTTGCTATGCAGAACCCCCACTTTGAAACTTAAAAGTACTGTGGCGTAACTACCACTATAAATATTAAATACCAAATCACTAGTATATAAGGCATGTTAACTCGATTCTATCTTGAGCTACCTTTTGATAGATGAAGGTTGACATAGTCTAAGATTAAATTCCCCTCATTGGTGACCCGGACATGATAAGAACTTGCCAATATTGATGGATGATCCACATTAAACAGTTGATTTGCTTAAAAATATACTGCTCAAAAAATAAAAAAAATCCGGTGAAGTAAATAAAGTCTCTGGGTCAATAAGCAATATTGGAGAGAAAAAAATAATGAGAGAACTTGCTATAAACAAAAATAATGAGCAAAATGCTATTAAAAAAAGGAAGAAATAATATAAGGAGGGAAAATGATCTAAATATATTAACAGCATGAATCAACTAGTGGTATTCGTTCATCGAATTCTATCACAGGTAAAATTCTGCGAGGGGAGTAATGTGGCGTAACTACCACCACAAATATTCGTATAAACGTTTCTCTGTTCGATTTTAATGTGCACATTCAAAATCAACTGTACNGGGCGATGGTCCACAAAAGGTTGGGAACCACTGATCTAAATATATTAACAGCATGAATCAACTAGTGGTATTCGTTCATCGAATTCTATCACAGATAAAATTCTGCAAGGGGAGTAATGTGGCGTAACTACCACCACAAATATTAAATACCAAATCACTAGTATATAAGACATGTTAACTCGATTCTATCATGAGGTACTACCTGTTGATCGATGAAGGTTGACATAGTCGATAATTTAATCCCCCTCAGTACTTGTGAATATATTAATTAAAAAAAGACTACCAATTATTTTGAAAATGTGGAAATCACAATCAACAGTATAATTTTTAAGTTATTTTAATTGATGATGCGGAACTTAGTCTAGTTCAGAATTTGTTTTGAATGTATACATAAGGTGGAGAAAAAGGTTTGCGTTGAAATGAAAGTAATAAAGAACTGTAATAAAAGTTGAGAATGGTTATCAGAGTGACATATTTCTTTATGGTTGAATTTAGTTTTATTTGGAATTGAAACGTTTGTTTAGAAATGCTAATCCACTTTTATTAAATGCATATTCTTTTCAATATTTATTAAATATATTGATTTTTTTTGTATCAATTTATTTGAATAGTTTCATACAAATAACTAAAACACTAAAGAAATATTAATGAGATATAAACATAATTACAGATTTCAAAAATTATAGTAGGTTAAACAAAGTTCTACATTTTGGAACCCTTATGACCTTTCCAGGAGATCCTAACTTTTTGCGAACTGATGCTCTAGAAATTTCAAATAAAAGTTGAAATTTTAAATGGAAGAGTCCCTGCTCCAATCATTATTGCCTTGAAAGTTTTCTGACCATATTTATGAAGGTTGTCTTTATTCATTGCATCTTTTGACTGGGATAATTTAACATTACGTAAATAAAATTCCTAATTTGACCGACTCACAAGTAAGCACCTGCAATTATCCTTACATATTAAAATGAACCAAGATCGGCTCTAAAGAACTACCAATTTTTCAAATATTGCACGGAAGATTTTATATTTAAATTGGTAGCAAGATTTATACTTTGCAATTTTATTTTAAAAATTTCATTTAAAATATTCTTGATCATCATTATTACTAATTAATTTAAACATATAAAAAAACTATCGACATTACGTGTCGATAAATAGCATTTTTTAAAAGAAATTTTTTAGGCCAAGCATAATAGAGCTAACGTTAAAAAGGACAATTTGCGAATTTTTTCAAGATTTTTGAAAAGTGGGATTTTGAAAACTGGTTTTTATGTTAATAAGCGGATGTCATATTCTCTAAAACTCCTTATATATGACTGGAAATGTTTAAAGAATGTTTTTAAAATAGATTTATTTCGTTTAAAATTTGAAAAATCNATCGGCTCTGAAGAACTACCAATTTTTCAAATATTGCACGGAAGATTTTATATTTAAATTGGTAGCAAGATTTATACTTTGCAATTTTATTTTAAAAATTTGATTTAAAATATTCTTGATCATCATTATTACTAATTAATTTAAACATATAAAAAAAAAACTATCGACATTACGTGTCGATAAATAGCATTTTTTAAAAGAAATTTTTTAGGCCAAGATACAACGAAATAAGCATAAATAGAGCTAACGTTAAAAAGGACAATTTGCGAATTTTTTCAAGATTTTTGAAAAGTGGGATTCTTTTAAAACTGGTTTTTATGTTAATAAGCGGATATCATATTCTCTAAAACTTCTTATATATGACTGGAAATGTTTAAAGAATATTTTTAAAATAAATTTATTTCGTTTAAAATTTGCAAAATCGAGTATGTATACACCGAAGAGCCATTACATTATGACCACCCTCCATCTATAAGAATGGACTCGCCCTGGTTTTCATGGTTTCTCGACCAAGAACAATGTTTTCGTGGGGCACATTAGGACCCATAATCCTCATAGAACAATCCCTGACGTCTGTAAGCTACTTGAACATGGTTGCAGACCAGGTTCATCCATTCATGGCAACAGTTTTTCCTGCGGGGGATGGTGTTTACCAACAGGATAATGCATCATGTGATACGGGTCGAGGAACATTCCAGTGACTTTCAAGTCATCTCTTGGCCTCCAAACTCACCTGACCTTAATCCAATAGAGCGTTTGTGGTCCTAGTTGGAAAGCCAAATTCGTGCTGCCACGCTAACCCCTCGCAATGTGAGGGAATTGCAGGACCAGTTGGTGAGCGCTTGACTACCTATCAGCACCTTGTGGAATCAATGCCACGGCGGGTGCTAGTAGTTTTGAGGGCTAAAGGTGGTCCTACATGTTATTAGCAGGGTGGTCATAATGTAATGGCTATTCGGTGTATATGATGACTAACATTAGAAATGAACACTTTGCAAATTTTTAAAAAGAAAACGGAATTTCTTTAAAGCCAATCCGATATGGAAAAAAAAAATTAACACGTTTTCTGCAAATACTCCTAAATGACTAAAAGCATTTAGAGAATGTTTTTTAAATAGTTTAATTTAGTCTATAACACTCAAATTACAGTATATAATTACGAATAACAATAGAATAAACACTTTGCGAAATTTGAACTGGTTTCATATTAAAGTTTGAACGTCATATTTTCTGAAAATACCTATGTTGGCTTGAAATAATTAAAGATTAATTTTTATATATTATTTAATTTAGTTCCGAACCCATAAATTCCTGTGTACATACCGAACGTATGGCAATATTTTAAAAAGTTTTCCGATTGCGATTCCTTTAAAACTGGTATATGTTAAAATACAGGTGTCTTGTTCTCTGAAAATGTCCAAATATGACTGGCAGCCGTGGTGCCTCAGGGGATAGAGCGCTATCCCCCTATAGAGGTGACTCGGGTTCGAACCCCAGCGATGGCTGACCGAAACGGATTCCGCACCCGGTTAGCACTGACCACAGTGCTAACCGGAAACCAGTGCAAGAAGGATCATGGGTTAGTGTCTCCTTACCGCCAGTCTAATCGTGGGAGGTTTTTATGGTTTTCCTCTCCAAACACAAATGTGGGTTAGTTATACCAAAATGTCCTCCACAAAGGCAAATTTCTCCCAATACTTGATCCAGGAGTTCCCTTGTCTTCTGGATTAGGCTCAAAATTACAAGGCTGTGGATTTGAACATAAATAGTTGTAGACTCAGAACTGGATCGGTAGTTCCACGCCTGTTATCAAATGGATGGTGTTTTCTACACTAGGGAACGCTGCAAGCTCGGTACCGCCTAAATTTCCAGGTTACTGTTTCCGTTGTTTTTTAAAGCCATTTGGCATCATTGTGTTTTGAGATTCTTTCGAACAATGTATTTGATTACTTGTGTTTACAATGCTAACAATACTTGTGTTTACAATGCTAAAAGTGTTAACACTAACGTAAGATAGTGCACAGCTTGCAACAAGAGCAAACTGTAATAAACTTATGGAAAGAGGCCATATCAAGACTGCCAAAAAAGCGAGTTATTCAAAATCTAGCAACCATGTCACCTTTTTTAACATTATAGCTCTAAATAACTAAAACAAATTTTCACTTCAAACTCACCAGAATTACATAATAACATTAATATCTTATGAAATACGGCAGATTTGAGCTCAGAAATTATCTAATTTATTTCTTTTATTGAAAACAAAATTATCCGTTTGAAAATATCGCCTAGCAGAATAACATGTAGTAAGCAGCTGCAAACTATCTAACCGGAACTAGAGCAGACATACAGCTGGAGATCATTATTGTTTACATTTCCACTGAAAACACCATCCATAAAAAAAATATATGACTAGAAATAATTAACAAATAGTTTTTAAATAATATCATTTAGTCCCGACAACGCAACATTAGAACACAATTGTGAATATTTTTGATAACCGGTAACAACCTGTTGTCCAAAACTTGTAACATACACATCTGAAAGTCTAAATAATTGATGAATAAGGTTT